GCACATCAAAGGCACGGCTGTCGACGCGCAGTTCAGACAGAGAGGCGAGACGATTTCGTGAAGCGTTGGGATTGGTCCGTATATTTCTGCGGAACTAATTTAAACCTTTTCGGTTGTTTTGAAAATTGTGTATCTATACGTTGATATTTATATATACCAACTTGATTCTTTCTTACCGTTGATGATTTATGTAAGATACATATTGGGTTGCGTCATAAATAACTAAGTGGTTGGTTGAAAGGAAAATGTTTATACTGTTTACTTCAAAATGCCTTATAAAAAGAAATGTAATAAACAACAGAGTGGAAAAATAGATGACGATGATCTCGAATCGGTTGAGTTTAGGACTCCAAAATCGAGTTTGGAGGATGTCGTGAGTAAATTAGCGGATGGCATGAAACAAATGCAAGTTAGTATGGCGCAGTTGGCCGACACGTGGCGAATTCTGTTAAAAAATCGCAAGTTGTGACTAACGACAAACATTATATATCTTTGTGGCGTGAATTGGGGGGGTTCGAACTTGACATTTCATCCGGATGGTAGCGTACATCCAATATTTTTTTTTTGAAAAAATTAACGCAATTGTTAAAGGATGCAAAAGTTCCGGAGGAAAGTAAGGTTTCATTGACTTTAACGACCTTGAGGGGTTCCGCTGTAGATTGGGGGGTCGCTAAGGAAAGTTCGTTTAAAAATTGGGAAGAGTTTAGTGACTGTTTTAAAAACAGATATTGGGGAATAAATCAAGAGCGCAAGTTATTCTTCGAAATTAAATATGGCGAGTTCAGATCAGGTAACCGAGCTGATTATTTTTTGAAAAAAGTAGCCCAAGCCGCGTTTTTAACTTAAAACCTACCCGAAGGTCAACTAGTAGAATATCTTGTAAAACATTTTTCAGTCGATATACAAAGAGGGATATTTATTGCGGGTTTGAAAACAATAGATGAAGTCGAATGCTATTTAAGGAAATTAGATGATACGTTTGAGGGAGAAAGGTTGCGTAGATCAGGGGAAAATGTTAGAAATGTTAGTTTTAATAATTATCAAAGTCGAAATTCAGCACCGAGTAGACAGAAAAATCAAGATACGAGTAATCCGCGAGATTCCAAAAATGATAATGCGAGAGGGGACGGTAGCGGAAACCGAAATGTTCGATTTTTAACTAGGTCCGAGGAGCTTTTGAGTGACGGGGATGAAAGTGACTCTGCAGAGGAACAAGAAATGTTTTCTCCGATAATTGAAACTTTGATATTTGACCAGAAAATAGACGTATTAGTTGATTCAGGTAGTCATAGTTGTGCCATATCTGAATCTTTCTTTAAAAAGTTACAGGGGGGTAATAAAAATTTACCAGTATTACCAATCTCTAATATGAACATTTCTGCTGCTTTTGGGGGAAAAGTATTAAGGTAAAAGTTCAGGTTTTACTTCCAGTTGAAATTGTAAAAGAAAAATTTGACATTTCTTGTATAGTAGTGCCTACGTTAAATCAGGATTTAATCTTAGGTACAGATTGGATGAGGGCGGAGAAGGTCAAAGTAGACTTTGACCGAATGTTGATTTGCATTGGTACTCGAACAATGCAAATACCAATTAAATTTGAAAAACAAAATAAAAATCAGATTCATCTTCACTCATTGCAGGATAAGAAAAAGAAACGACATTGTTATACAGATTTAGAACTAAGAGTCGTAGCAAACAAATCAGACGTATTTGATCAAGAACATAAAGATAAATTATATTTACTATTAAGCAAATTTTGAAAAATTTTCTCTGAAACGCCCGGACTAACAACGAAATATGGACACGAAATAAAAATGCGCGACTCCACGTCATTTTTTAAAGCTTCTTACCCAATTCCATTGGCGTACCGCGCTGAGGTAAAATGTCATATTGATGAAATGGGTATTATAGAACAGGGACAAACAGAATATGTATCGCCTTTAACAGTTGTGATAAAAAAGGACAAATCTATTCGGATATGTTTAGACGCTCGATTTTTAAACAGTAAAATGGAAAAAATTTACATTCTTCCGCCGCGAATGGACGAATTGTTGTCACGTTTCCAAAGTGGGCTATTTTTGTCGACTTTGGATATGACGGCTTCTTATTGGCAAATACCAATTCGTAAGGAACATCGGTGTATTACTGGATTTTTATTTAGTAATCAAACATACTATTTTATTTTGTCTTTTGGTCTATCGACTTCGGTGGCAAGTTTTATACGGGGTTTGTCCAAATTACTCGGACCCGAAGTGTTATCTTTTACTCTTGTTTATGTTGAGGACATTTTAATATTTTCTCCAGATGCTGAAACTCATTTAAAACATTTATCTGTTATTTTTGAGAAATATTACGACGCTAATTTGACAATTAAGTTGCGAAAATCCGCATTCGCTAAATCTAAAACTGAATTTGTCGGACATATAATTTAGCCTAAAGGTATAGAAATAAATCCAAATCGAATAGAAGCTATTAAAAATTTTCCAAAGCCGCGAAATATTCGCCAACTTAAGGGTTTTCTCGGGTTAGTAAACTATGATCGTAGGTTTTGTGAAAATTTTGCTGATTTAACAGTTCCGCTTGTAAAACTGTTACGCAAAGCCTCTGCGCAGGCTATTGTGACTAAACTCGAGAACAAATATTTTACTGAAGTACAAAAGCCGAAAATGTTATTAAGTGATAACGGAACACAATTTCATTCCCAAGTTTATAAATCTTGTCTTGGTCGGAATCAAGTGAAGCAAATATTTACCTCGGTATATTTTCCCCAGGGAAACGCTACAGAAATTGACCGTCTTCTTCGCACATTTTGTTTTGCTAAACATACTAAATGGGCTGCTGTATTGGGCAACGTAGAACATTGTATAAATAATGTGATCCACGAAGCCACCGGTTTCACACCTAGTTTCCCCTTTAACGGTAGACACGAACCCAATAATATAATGAGTAGTTTAGATTTCCCGTTTTCCAATGAAAACCCGTGCAATGATTTGACTCAGTTTTGGATATTAGCCAAGGAATGCTACTTTCCAAAAGGAGGCGCAAGGAATTAGCTTTCAATAAAAGAAAAAAATCTGTTGTGTTTAATCAAGGGGATTTAGTCTTATTTTGAACCCACGCTCAGTCGTTAGCTGAGAATGCAGAAATTAAAAAGTTTTTCCTATTATACGAAGGTCCGTACAAGGTGTTTGAAAGGAAGGAGTCAAATTCTTATTTATTGGTAGACGATGTCGGACAATATTTGGGTCCGCATAATATCATAAATTTACAGAAATTTAAACCCATGCCTGAAGCAAATTTGCTTCATTAGCCACTTAGAATTTAACGATAATAATAATCATAATTTGTTTTCTTTGTTTGGACATTGTCATTTATTTTAATTGCTAGAACGGTATTAAAACTCTAGCATCTGTTAAACCATATGTATAGTTTTAATACGGGGGTAATGTGGTGCGCGATTAAAAGTGAAGTGCGGCAACAAGGGATATTTGCAATCCCCGGTTAAAAAGTCGGTTCGTGAAGGGTGGGAAGACGGGCGGAAGACGTTCCACAGGACGGAGTTCCTGGGGATAAAGAAAGTCCCGTGATTATTATTGTTTCTTTAGAAATTTGTAGTATTACGTTCAGTAAAAGTTTGGTAGTTTTCAAATTTTGTGCCTTATTTACCGCCGTAGAACCCACGACACACTCTCGGAGGTCCGAGAGCATCTCATACATTATTATGCTAATTCGAATCCGCACGAATAAGATAATCATGAGAAATACTTAGTTATCCCCAATTTTTTTGAAAGACCCCTGACTTGTTAAATGTTTTTGCACTCTTTTTTATATCAACTTCCTGTGTTTTTTAATCACGTATACTTCAGTAATTTTTATACGCCAGTTTGGGAACCAGGTAGATTGGAAGATATGGGTCCCCGGATCCCCATGCTTAACACCTTACTTCCTTTTACAGGGTCACATAAGAGCAATTGATTACAACACGCGTCCAACCACTGCAGATGAGATAATGCCGACTGAGATAATGCGTATTAAAGACACTTTTAACAATGTTAATGAAACATTGTTTCATTTAAAGAAAATACAACATTTATATTTTTCACACTTCTGAAGCAACCTGCATAGTATGAAAGTAATTGTAAAACGTTATCGTAATAGTACTTTCCACATCCCAGAAGTGAAACTTTTTGAAAACTTTGTATTTTGTGTAGCCTGAATGACTATATATTTTTTTAGCACCTACTAATAAAAGTAGATTAAAAAGCAGGCGATTTAGCTAATTGACTGGCTGACGACGCACTGATTTAATGCAATTTTATATTGACATCTCGCTAGTAGGGTTTATAAGTCACTTAATCGTCTACACGCCCGGTATACACGGAACCAAATTCCAGGTATACCTTAAATGTAAACTATTCCGCCATCTGTCGACGAGTGGACGTACAAAATCCGAATTATTTGATTAATTAGTAAGAAATCTACACTTTTGAAATTTTGAAATTTTTTGTTTTACCAGACATTTATAAAAATGGCTAACGATCAAACAAACAAGCATAAAATCCAGAGTCGAAGAGAAACTTCCCAGCTTGCAAATATTCACTTTTATTTTGAAATGCACTTTGAATTTCATTGTGAGGGTCACCATTGCAACGGATTTGGTAAACCAGCCTTATATATTATACTCGACCAGCGAAATGTTTTTCCTGAACGAGAATTATTTATTCATCACTACTTGACAAGTATTAAAAATAGCTAAAAACATCATATGTTTGTCAGTTGTAGCTGCGTCCAATTTTAGGAAAGAAATGTTAACAGTTCAAAATTGTTATGAAAACAGTATCATTTTTGACAGTAGTATAAAATTTAATACTTGAAAACATCTGACGGTCAATCCTATAACACAGTTTACAATTTACTAATTTACTAAAAATGAATACTGAACGACCAAAACTATGGTTATGGTTCTGAGGTTCCAACGTATCGTAAGACAATGCTAACTGAAACAACGTTAGCATTCTGTGGTTAGACGTATGTGAGAGACTTATCTTGTTTAATAACTCCAAACAGCAGCTATAATATCATTGGTAATTTTTTCTTCATACTTTGTAAGTTATCCTAATTGGATTATTGCATTTTTTTCAAATTATTGTAGCTTGCTTGCTCTTTTATCCCTAACATCTTTTAAAAGTATACCACCTTCGATGATTCATATTTTGACAGTTAATCATTTCAAAACATCGCATTTTTTTTGCAGCTGATGTTATGAGCATACATTAAAACATGACGGATATCGACACCCCCTATTTTTCTTCTAAAGATGAAGAAATCAGTTACTGGAAAAGCTTGGCGGAGGAGTACAAAATCGAGTATGTATTGATTCTGCATTATTATTAACCATTTAATATTAACTATTTTTTAGTGCGGAACGTTCGAGACGAGAGTACGAGGAGTTTTTAAGCGAGTCTAAGCAGCTCGAACAGGAATACGAGGCGATGATCGATCAGAACGAAAAGAAAATTAAAGAAATTAGTTTGCAGTACAATCGATCCCAATCGGAAATCGACGCCCTTAGGGTAATAAACGGTTCCACCTGTAACCTTCTATCTGTAGTTGGTGTGTATCTATTTAGATAAAGCTTGACATCAGTTACAAGGAGAGTGGTAACTATCAAACGGAATTGTCAGCAATAAAGTCCGATAAACAGCAGATGCAGTTGCGCATCAGGGATTTGGAACAGAAAAATGACGATTTGGAAAGGGCGAGGCGGATAGTGGAGGAGAGTGTTGCGGGATTCGAACAGGCGTTGAATTTTGCCCTTGAAAAAAACGCCATTTTGGAAAGTGAAATTGACGAGAAGGAAACACTCAAAGAGAAGTTACAGAGGCTTGCCGATGAAACAAGAGGTGAGTAATTGTTGAGTTAATGTAGTTGTGTAGAGGTTCCTTTTGTTTCCGTGGTAGATGGATACCAAATCCTCAGTGTTTAGTATTTTTGGGAAAGCACTGCACTGGCAACATGTGTAAAAGATAGAGCCATTGAGTTTGGTTATGTTCGACAAGGCTATAATTTTTGGCACAAGTATGTTGCACTCCATTTAAGGTGCATGAAAACTTGCAGTTATTTGTTGGTTGTAATTTTAGGAATTGGAGAAATAGAAGTGTTATTGTCTATTTTTCAAATTGCAGATGGTTTCATGGTTGCTAAGATCCAAAAGTATTTAAAAGGAAAACTGATATTGTGTGGAAAATTTTCTGAACTAATGTGGAAACATACTTTTGGTACGGTTTTTCTTAAAACCTGTAAATGTTGTATGTAAAAGTTGAGCCTTACTTCTAGGCATATCTTATCCACCACTCAATAGCATAAAAATGTGTAAAAATGGCAACCACAAAATAACATCTCACCAAAATAGGTACAAAAGAGGTGCTGAATTATCAATTTGGGCAGAGGTATACAGGGTGACCCAGGGTTAAACCGTCAAACGTGTAAGAGAGGTTTTTCAAGTATAGTCAGGACTTTTTCCCATAAGTTTTCAAGATACAGAGGGTCAAATTTTTTCTAAAAAAATTTTTTTCTGTTTTTTATTAAACTTGGCATGCTAATTTGCGGTAATAGAGACTTCTTTTAACGCAATTAGCATGACATCAGAGGGTAATCTAATTGATAGTCAATAGTATATTATGCAACAAGTGCGGCAAAAGGCATTTGACTCACGAGTTTATTTGACACGAGTGGAGCGAGCAATACTTGTATCCTATACCTAAATTCAATATTTTTTGAAATAGTTGCTAACTTAAATGCGACATTAAAAAATATTCTAGAATTTATAATTCAAGTAGGTATAGTATAATGTAATATGGGTGGAATTTTTCAAATAGTCTCTCATTTTCTTTAATATATCCAATGTATGTTCTCTGTATTTTTTCTAAAGCGGCAGTAATAGATTAGAACTATTCTTCATTTAGAATTTCAACTTCCGTTCTAATCAGGTTTTTGACATACTCTCTGTTTCTGATGGTATTTGCGTTTACACGATATTTTAGAGTTTCTCATAAAAATATATCCATCGGTGTCAGGTCAGGACTGTGGGTTGGTCATTTTACTGGTCCATCTTTTGGTTCAAATAGTCTTTAACAAATACTACATCATGAGCAGGACCAACATCTTGTTGAAAGAAGAGGTTCCTTAGTTGTTCCAATGAGAGCTCATCTATATGGTTTTCTAATTCGTTCTGAATAAAATTTAGATTACCCTTACTGTTTAAAGTAACGTCGAAGAAATGAGAACACATCCTGTTTTTGGAAAATAGCACACCACCCATTTACAGTTTGACGTCTATAGAATTGAAATTTCCTGTCAGAATGACGATTTACCTGGGCCAAGTATCTGCTGATTTGCTTGAAATAGTTGCTTGGTCCGAAAAACATTTTTTTAAATAAGCATCATTTCCTTTCATTTTTTCCAACATTGCATGGCAAAACTCAATCCTTTTTCTCGATGCCTGTGGGTAGGGTTTGTGGTAATATTAATTTTTAATGCCTTATATCCTGTTTTGTTTAATCTTCCCGTTCGATGTATTTTTTTTATCAATATATTCTTCTATCCGACATTTTTTTATGGGAATATTGGAATTTTCCTCTTTAGTAAAGTCCTTAAATCACTATTTTTATGTCTTTCCAAAGTTCTTTTCTTTTTGGCTAGGCTGGATGTTTTTTGAAAATTTTCTTAGATTACAAGAAAGATTTTTTTGTCTGGAACGTGCATTCGGTTAGGTTAGTTACACGTAGTTTCTTTTGTTTTATTAAACGTTTCCAAAATTAATTGTTTTTCTCTTTCAGAATAAGCCATTTTATAATAAAAAGAACGTAAGTTTTGCTAAATCTGTAACTTGTAACTGTCACTGTCAGATATAAACATTTTTTTTCTATTTTTACAAATATAACAGGCATACACCACACTTTTTGGTCGTAACTGCATTTAAAATATCAGCTTATTTGAACTGAACTTCCGATTTAAATGATCGGTATGAATAAATTCCTTACACAGGAGAGCAGAGATTCAATATAAGTATCATCGCAAAAAAAATCCAAAGAAGTTTTTTGTTAATGTAGATTTGAACAGTCGCTATTCTTTGCTGGGTAACCCATGTTCTTGTCCATAATTTTATATTTTTTTTGGAGGTCTAGTCCTATACATCATTTCTTAATGTGATAGAGTACTAAAATGTAAATTTGCAATGACAGGGAACATTAAACAGGGTGGACAACTTAAAGGTTATATCGTATAGTTCAGATAATATTTCAGTTTTTAAGATTAAAAACCTACATTTTGGACAGTTTCGTAAATAAAAGAAATGTGACACAAGTATAAGTAAATGCGTCACAAGTATTTTATTAAAATCATAAAAATAATAATTATACATATTCATATATAATCATAGAGATGGGCCGAAATTGAGATATTATTTATTCTAAAATAAAGTAAATGAAAACAAGAAACAAGCATAATATGAAAATAGATAAATTGCAATAAATATTATTATTTATCACATATGTTACTCATCATGTTCCCCGTGATCAAATGGAGTCCTAAGAAGTAATTTGGAAAGTCTGATTTGTTGTGCTTCATCACAATCATAATTCCCCCTTGCAAGAGGGACATGATGCTAATTGGTTTAAAAATCATTTCAAAGCGTTACTCAGGATATTTACATTAATTTGGCTCATTTTGGAACTATTTCTAAATTTTAAATCATCTAAATTTAATTTTTCGAAGAAACTTCCATAGGCTACTGTAATATCATTTACTAAACTTCTGGCTTCATCCTGCGTCGGTTCTTGTTGAATCGAACTTGCTGACGTTTCACCTATCATCCTGTTGGTTTCTTCAGAGCTTAACTGAAACTGTTTCACATTCTACTCTGTATCTGCTTATATATTGAGGGGGCGAAGCTAAAGGAGGAGCATGAACATTGTCGCTGATTCCCATATTGGTGAAAGATATCAGGATATATATAACTGAGAAATTAATAGATTAAAATCAAGTATTTTTTTTGGCCAATGAGGTTTTGAAGAAACCAAAACTGTCAATCTGGTATAACAGGCTGATTTAGATTTAAGCCTTAAACAGTATTTGGGAAATTCCCGCATCGTAAATTTGTTATGCGAATATGTTAGTTTGTTTTTGTTGTATTGTTGTTTATGCAATAAACCTATTTTAGTATTACTAAGTCTTGTTTGGTGCATATTGAGGAGATGATAAGCCGAGTCCTTTCCTTCAATTTGAAATAAAAGGAATAAACGTATATTTTCGGTTCCATGTCGGAGGCTTAAATAAATAAATAAAATAACAAAATGTTTTAACATCTTAATAAATCCCTGCAGAAACGCGAAAAATAATAAACATGTATTCTTTGTCTGTCGATGCCGATACTGAAAATTAGAAAATTAACATGCGCTTGTTCCATTTTGTTTAAGACCTGAAGCAGGAGTTGCTGGTGAGGGAAAAGGAAAAAGTGCCGGATAACGAGCGGATCTTGAACGGTAGCTTCAAATGTCCCCCGACGGCGGTCGATTCTAATAGATTGAAGGAAAACGAAACTCAGACGTCGCCGGTTAAACGTAAGCTTAGTATATTTAATAAGGCCTGCAAGTCTCTGTCGGAATTTTGCCGTAAATGAATGGGCCCCACCGGTCAAACTAACGCTTGCTGTATTTAACGTTACTTACGATAGATACGTTTGTGTGAAAGAAAGATTGTATTTTTGTACGGTATAGTGTATCATGTTTTACATTTCCGTTCGCAGGAAAATGTAGTATTGTTAGTTATCGAGAAAGCAAATCCTTGTGACTTTCCTCCCTTAGATTAGTTCGCAAATTTTTGTTGTTGACAACTTGACACGCCGATTGTTCCATTCGAAATTCAGTTCGTTGAAAAAAAAATGTTGGGATGTAACGATTTAATATATTTTTTTAAATGACCTATTTATAGTAAGGGTTTCTACATCTCTCCTTGAGAAAAAAGAAAAGTACTTATTAAGTAAAATGACAAAGTACGGTTTATAACATTTTGGCACTTTATAGAGTATCTCGGATTTTTTAAGATAGAAAGTTGGGGTTTATGCGACACTGTGCTACTTTTTTGTTAAATTAGAGATGCCTGCAACTCTGGGTTTTTGAGATATAGGATGAAATCTAAAACAAACGATTTTGGGACCACCCTCGTATCTTCGTTGTCATTTAAGTTATTGAAGTTATTGAATCCAGTGGGGTAGTTTGTTTTTTACTTGCTCTAGCCGTTTATTAGTTATGAAGGAAACATATATTTTCAGAAATATATATCATTTTAAAGTTGTTTTGAAAATTAAGGTCAATTTTTTTTTCATATTTTATTTTATTTGTTGCAGTAGGCCATGATTAATGTATTAAAAATAATATCCAAGTAAACAATTATTAACATACAAGTCCATTATTACATTATTTAATACTAAATAATATTACATCTAGAGAATATTAACATAATATTATACCTAAAACTGTTGTTCAAATTGGAGATCATTTTTTCGAATGGAATTTAAAATTTCGCCTATAGCAACCAGGTAGGATCACAGTTTTGTGTTTTAAATATAGATAACAATTATTTATTTTACTTTGTTGTGTGTACGCTATCAAACTTTTCTTAAACTCTTAAATAACTCACGAGACAATGGGGGTGGTCCCAAAATCGATAGTTTTAGATTTCACACTGTATGTTAAAAAGAGGGCCATCTTAGTTTTACAAAAAAGTAGCACAGTGTCTTGTAAACATGTGCTTTCTATCTTTAAAAATAACTAAGATGTCCCGCAAAAGTGTACAAAATGGGATACCGTGTATATAGCTGGTACGATTTGTGATGGCATAGTCATCAATAAAATGCCAGAGAGTAAAATAGATTGTTCATCTTGCATGCTGACTTTAACAGATGGTGCCCCCCAAGTTGTACTTGACATAATTTAACTAGTACGCCCATACTCAGAGATGAATTCATGTATTTTCTATGTAATAATAGATAAGGGTGTGCCTTAATGATATGCGCATATTTAAGTAAGTAAATCTATATGAAAAAATTATGATAATTTGTTAAATAAGCAATGCCAAAAAAAATCGTATCTTATAAACTTATGAAATATAATTTGCCGAGAGTAAATATACAAGTAAACCATATTTAGTTTGTATTTTAAAACTTGATGACCCATTTCAGCAACTCACTTTTTTGACCATTTTGTGTGTAATTAATCCGATTACTGCGCAGGCAATTGATTATTTCCTCTTTTTTTGTAAATTTAGAATGATATCGTGCATTATCCATAATAATTAAACACGGCCTTTCGGATGTCGGCAGCAGTTTTTCAAAAATGCGACCATGTTTTGAGTGGAAACTAGTGTAATCTGTTAATTGTTGCTATCTCTTTCGACACCCGGGCGTAATAGACAAGATAGGTCACTGGCAGGTAAATGATTGCCATTAGTATACGAGTAGAAGCAGACAAAATACTTGGTTTTATGATCGACTATGCCATCGCAAATCGTACCGACCATAGTAAATATTCAATAACTGCCATTTCTATCGAGAGTATACGAGGCGCAGTCATAAAAGTGTGAATTTTCGTTGTATACTGCTAAAATGTTAAAGAAAAAACATTCAAAAAATTTAATTTTTCATCTATTCTATGGTACAAGTCCCACTGAGAATAATTCAGCAGTGTTCAGGAGTCTTATATAGCCAGCCATAGCATCTTTGGTCCGGTCTTAAACAGATTTCGCCGATGAAGTCCAAATGTTGTGTATAAGTGTATAAGTACATACCTCCCATCGATATAATCTGGCAAATAAAACAGTTTGGCTGATTGATTTAAGCTATTGAGAAAATAGAAATGCGCCTATAGAGATTTTTTTATCCTAGAATCCAATTAAGTAACTAGTTGTTTCATTTTTTTTAATTATGGCACAGTTGTACATTTTTAAATGGGACTCTCTATATTTTACGTCATTTTAGTGCATCCGTTAACGGTTTTCCGAACACTTTTCCATTTGTTCTTAACGTTAGTTGTTAAAGTTAATATCACTTTAAAAATTTTAATGAAATTTGGCACACATGTACTGTGTATCAGGAAACATTATTTAGTATACCACAATTATTTTAAAATATACCAGTGGCGGGCGTATGAAATTTTACCAGTCTATTTTGGCAGACATGGATAGTACGCCACTGGTTTCCCGGAACATAAAAATTATTTAATCATTTCTAAAAAAAATATTTTTTTTATTTTTTAACTCCGATCTACGGTTTTCGCTTAAAAAATAAAATCCTCTTCTATGCATAGTCATTATAAGATGGCTGCATGCACAGAAAGATTGTTAATAAATTAATAACAACCTTTTTTAAAAAAAAAGTAGAACATAGAAATCAGATACGTTGTTCAAAGTGTCCTCCACCTTGAAGGATACACGCTTCAGCTTTTTTGCTCCTGAAGTATACCTCCAGTGTTTATTATTAAAAAGCAGAAAGCTTTTATACGATCCTTAAGCTTTTCTACAGTGTTAACTGGGTTGCGATAAACGAGACTTGGGGGGCAATGGTTGAGGTCCGTTTTAACTGAATGTTGTTTGACTGCACCTGGTATACAAAGTAAAAGGCATTGCATGTATACTTTTTTAAGACAAAATCATCTCTACTTTATATAACCTTGCTCAATAACTAGTTTAGCAGTAACTAGTACATACCAAAATTTCATTAAACTCACGTGAAGTAAGGAGTAAATCTTTAATTTTTTTTTAATTCAACTCCCACAAGAATATTTATACCGTTCTAAAAAGTTCTTCTGTTTTAGCACGGAATTGTACGAAGTCATTTTCTGTCCTACTATGATTTTAACATAAGCTCGCATGTATCTCTTGACTCAACGTATATACTGAGTGTCCTAAGAGGAATCTGAAAGTGGTTTTTTATTAATATTCCCGAGACAGGCCGAGGCACGTTGAATCTAATTTTAAAATTATAAATGTAACTTTTAAGGGACGCGTGCTAAATACTGCGATAAATTTTTTGATGATTGACTTGTAGCCTATTTCCTTATAAAATCGGTTTGCTCTGTTTCGACCAAAAGGAAATGCGAAAATAAGTACACTAATTTTTCAAAGAAACTTCCACAGGCTACTGTAATACATTTTACAAATTTCTGGATTCCTCCTGCGTCGGTTTTTAACAGTTTCAGTCAAGCTCTGAAAAAGCCAACCTTGTACCTTAAACTACACATCAAAGAACAACCTTATTGTATGTCTGAAATTCAGGTCATGAATTGATTTCCTAATTACTAATTGTCATTCAAATATTTAGGAATGCTGGAATTTATCACACATTTCAAAGTTGTGCTTAAAAACATGTAACATATAACATATAACACTGTTTGCAGACATGCGCGACATGATCTAAAAACTTCATATTCTCATAAACTTATAAACTTGCATTTGTAAATTCAACTGGAAACGTGGATGTGAAGAGACCAAAATATCTTAAAATTATATTGTTAATATCGGAGATATCTTCCAGGGTCCTAAATTCTTTTTGGGGATTTTCGTCAGTTATATTTAAGCGCTCCCATATAATCATAATTTTTCAATTTTTGAAGAATAAATAAAATAAATTTAATAACATAGGTTTTTCAGTTCTTATCGTCGCGGCATTGCCACTGGCATCGGAAAGTAGCGACAACTTTGAATTTTAGTTGGTTAGTAAACGCGTATATTGATCCTCTTTTCCTTTTTTTTTTTTAAATATTAATATATTCTTATTGCTGGGTTATGGAATATTTCAAACACTGAAATTTTGATTACAATTTGTCAATTGTGTAGCCCCCCCCCCCCAAACCGAAAGGTAGGTAGGAACATAATATATGAATTAAAAACGGTTTAATTATCTGTCAAAATATTTCATAATTTCATAATTGTAGACATTCTGTACACCGCGGAGGTTATTACTCTACATCGAACTACTACATAGGGTAGGGCAAATTGTAGTAAAAATTTCAGCTTTTAAAATGTCCAACTAACCTAGCCATAAGAAAAAACCCGATAGACCACAAAGTGACAGCGATGAGAAAAACAGAATATTGTCTTATTTAAAAAGTCGAATACTTTTCGATACAAGCGGCAACATCGGGAAACTGACAATATTTTAAAAACCTACCTCACTAAATATAGTGACTAATACTCCATCAATCTTGAGACACTCTGTATATCCAAGTCTATTCAGCAGCAACGCCTTTTAGAAACCGTTTGTGCTCTAACTCGTTGAATATTTAGGTAACAAGACTCAAAAAACAACAGCCGATTTAACAAAAAAAAGAAGCTTTAATAATTTAGTCGCTTTTTTTTATAGTGTTGATATTTTAACATTCATATTTCAGTTTTGATTGAATCGATTCGATGGGATATTGTACCTTTCACATGTCGATAAAGGACCAAATAAATGCGTTGTTAAAGATTAGCTACTGTTTTCTTTTGTGTTGTTGAGTCTTGTTGCATGCCTCTGTGATTCCTCGTCCCCTTGCATGTCTGTGTTGTGATTATTTTTTTAAGAAGAATAAACTTTCCCATTTTTTTCGGAAAAACAGTCTTTTGAAAAATGTGTTTTTTTACACGTGAAAACTAAAATTGGGAATTTTTATTATGGATCCATGGAAGTGGTTAATATTTATTGCTTTTATCTATTTATGGTAATAAATAATAATAAAAAATAATAATTTGTAGGTATGACTGATTTTCTGCAACAACTCGTGTATTTTATTTTACATCTAACTAAATATATATAATGTCCTATTCTAACTATTTTTTTTTAACATGAATTACAAAATTTTAATATAATTGCAAAACGTTTTCTAACCTCCGTAAACATGTAATATGGTTTCAAATTTACAATTCTTATCCATGGAAAAAAAGAACTGATAAAATTGTTGCCTGGACAGAAATACACTGTTTTTTGACATTTTGTTGGCAACAATTTTTTTAAAAGAAAAAGTGGCCTTTTACAGTGTTCAAGAGAGATCTTCACGAATGTTACATGAATCCAGCATTAGCCCGAAGAGAATATAGGTTGTTGTATCCTGCAAGGCGGGTACCCAGGAAATATATTTTTTCTCGAATTGTTGGTGATCCTTGAACGTGGAGCGGTAGTCTATAGTCGAAAACGCAGTCCTAACAGAAATGCTCCTGTATTTTAACGAAATCAACGAAAATTCGCAAATAGATCAATCCCGAGATCTACTGGGTATTAGTTTGAATAATGTTCAATGGACTTTAAAATTTAACAACTACCAATTGAAAAATTATCTCAACAGGACATTCAAATAAGACTTTTTTATTGTTCTCTTGACCACTATATTGAAAGTGACATTTAAAAAAAACCTATGGGGGTCGATAGGGCCACTGTGTTCCACGGAAAAAATACACATTATATCTGGTATACCTCAAATGCAAATTAAGAAACAGGGTCGGAGAAATGTATATGTGTGATTTCTCATTATACGTAGTCGAATAATAGGCCCAGTATTTTATGGCTTTGTGAGAGATATTGAAATTTGTTGGAGAAGTGTAAATTGCCGGACGACATTATGAAGGGATTGTTTTTGCATTAGAAGATTGCAAATTCACAAAAAAGTAGCATAGTGTGGCGTAAACTGCAACTTTGAGCTGCCCAATATTTAGCTCGTCAAAAGTATATTAAAACAGACTCATTCGGTTTTAGTTTTCAGTCATGATTAATTAGCGTATTCAAAGATCCATTCCAAATATTTATTTAGTTTCCTTGTAATTGGCTGACAGCAGCATACTGTCGACTTACCTAAGCAACTCGAAATATCTGCGGTATAAATAATAATAACGAGCCTTATTATGCACGATTACAAAGGCCATCAATTTTTACACTTTTGAAAGTTGATTTCGATCTGACATTTGTTTCTGTATTATTAAGGCCTCATAAATGATAAACATTTTTCTCTATCCAGTAATTTAAATTTTTTTTTTAGTACAAGAACAAAACCGGAATTAACAAATCTAAATTAAATAACAAAGTCTCCAACAATACATAAGTCCATTTATTTTTTAAGATCTCTCGCTCTCGATCTTTATTGAAAAGTTTAACCTACTGCTTCATCAGCCCTAATTTCATATGCAACGTGGATCAATAAACCTATCGTGAAGAATATTGTTTGATCCGGGAGTTAAATTAATCTTTTTTGGTCAGTTCTTTTTCACTCAATGTTGTTGTCTGTTTCTACTGTCCCACTCATACAGAAAAAAGTATATTCATATATCCTGACTAGTAGAAGTGTCAGTTTTTAAGTCAGCACAATTCATAGAACTACTGTCCTTGTATTTGATTTTCTTAAGCAGTAGTTCCAGATTTATGTAGCAATCTTGCATTTGCACAGAATGAGCCACAGGTACAGAAGCAGGAACATGTCCATTTTGTAAAATAACAGCTTTAAGGTTTTTCTTTGATGAGTCAATAAAGAGCCCCCAACCCTCAGAATTGCAGTCTATTCCAAGTTTCTTAAACCACTTTGTCCAAAATATTTTAAAAACTTGTGCCAGTAAATTTTTATTTCGAAATCTAGATGTTAAATTTCGGAAAGATGCTTAGGTGTCACTAAGTCATTAAATTCTGATTGTGAAAATAATTGCAATTGCCGAGAAAAGACTTTATATCACCAATGTCAATTAAAACTGGTTAAAAACTGGTGGTATGTTCTTCCAAATTGGCTGGTTCTCAGGTATTGCAGATTGCAGACTTCAGGTTTGGATAAGCAATGTTTTTGACATTTTTATTATTATATCCACGAACATTGCACATGCAGAAATAGCAGTCGTCATGGTGATTTGTTGGCTCTCGCCATGTCATAGGTATTCCAAAATGTATGGATCGTCTGGTTCCATTATTTCAATATCTTAAACCTTTTTGTTTTTTAAGCGCGGGATGTAATTTTACGTCTAAATTTCTTGACCACAAAAGAACCATACACATAGCAAAATGTATCTGGAATATTTTTATAAACTCATTGGATTTTAAAAAGCAAATTTAACTCCACAATGCTCACTAACTACGACAAACGCAATTACATGATAAACGAGACTACATATTCGGGACTCCCAGAAAGTATATTTTATTTGTTTAATTTATGCTATTTTAATAATAATAAATATAACATTTTAAAAATTAATTCAAAATGTTGCGTTTTTCTATTAGTTTACTCCCTATAACTCCGAAAATATTGAAAATACCAAATCACAAAATCTTGATTCGCCTGTGTTATTAGTCTGTCCCTTTTCCTGAAGGCGCGTTAATACCGTGCTGTCCTTCCATGAATGTTCGGCGAGCACTGGGTTTATTTTGTCTTGTTTCAGGACTATATACAATCTTCACTAATCCACTTCTAGCCCATTTATTAGTATCGGATTTACAATAGGAATCACGAATTAATTTTGTTCAACAAAATTAACTTTTCTGAAATAGCCCATAAATCTTTATTCTATATATTTGGTTAGAAACAAGATACCGAAATGCGCCTTTATTTTATCTATGTAGGTTTTGATTTAGTCATCCGCTACATTTAAACATTTTTCTTGTTTACAGGTGAATACCAGGCGCCATTGTCGCCAGCGTCGCGGGTAATGGCGCTGAACATTGTCAGCGATTTGATCAGAAAAGTGGGGGTAAGTGTTTAATGACCTTTTTTTTGCAAGTCGGGCTAAAGAATTGTTATTGTTTTTATTAGCAATGGGACGACGTACTGCGGGCCAATCTCTCAAATTAGCCACCCAAAAATTTGTATTGTCAATCGATCTCTAATAATAATAGAATAATCATAATTCAGAAATAACATTTTGTGTTTAAACTGTAAAAAATACCACTTTGCTCTTTAGAAAATTTTATGTTTTTGTATGTTTTCCAACCCTGTAGAAAAAAGGCAAGTAAACCTTATTTTTAAAGCAGGCGAAATTTTTTATAAAGAATGAATGACCTTTTCCGTTATTTACCTCTTTAAAATGCATTTGCATTAAGTTTTCATCATATAATATCAAATTGTTTTCATCCCTTATGTCACATGGGGTTTAGAAAAGGATCAACACTAGATGGTTAGCTGCAATACTTAAAAAAACTACGCGCCACTGACTTTCTTCTTTCAAAGAAACGTTAAGTCTGTTAAAAGCTACCTCTCGATCGTTTGTTAGTTCCGATCTCTGTAATGAGCTAAATACAATTTTATTTGACTTTATTAATTCAACCCCAATCCCCAATAAAAAGCTAATATACCATGTCCTGGTCTGAAAGTTGTCATTATCATTTAATTGTCAAAATGTTGGAAACGAAGATTTTAGTATTTGTTATAGGTTTTCAATAAGTATTCAATAATCCGTTTTTAAGTCTAAAACTTCGTTGTTGCATTTGATAAATATTAGACAACTTTAAAATCCCCCATTATAACTTGGTTGGATTAACTGACATGTTGCCTAAACAATATTTTTGAAAATATCTGCAGACGTTTAAAAGAAACGGGAACTAGCCTTTAAAGATACCATCTTTTCTAACAAACTAAGAAATATTAGAGATTATGGGCCTAGGCAGGAATTTTGTGAGTGGCTTTTAAATTAATTTGAAAAATTGAATTAAAAATTTTTATAACTTACTTAGCTCGTCAGGTGAAAAAAATTAAGTCAATTAAGAAGTGGTCAATTGGTCATTTTCTCAACCTACTGAAATTTTATTTAGAAACAAAACTAAAGTCAAATCAGTGGTGTGCAGTTTTTTTTTTAGAAAAGTATTTCGCCGATACGACGAATTGCCCAAACTCTTTTGGCAGTAAAATAAGTACTAATTTAAATAACTTTTAACCTCCAAATTTTCAATAATTAAATGATCATAAGAAGTTTTGATCTGCACAGAGCAGTAATTTGCTTGTGGCTTCCTGATGCATAAAATCTTAATGTTGATAGTACTTGATGCTCTATATTCTGTATAAATATACTGTTTAGTTGCATTATTAGTGTAGGAAATATGCCTTTAGTTACTGTTAAAACTGATTATTGTATTGGTACAGTAGCATGGAAGCCAGTGTAATTCCTAAAATTTATGTTCTTCGTTAAAGTAAATAACACACAAATGAATAATTATTTTATATTAAAAAAACAATAATTTAATAATAATAGGTAACTGCTTAAGTTTAAGAAAATAATTAAAGCAATCATTTCCTGTTCCTTTTTTCCTAGCTGGCAGTTTTATTCGAATACATTTTTCAACTCTGTTTGGATACTTGCTTAAGTTCAGGGATGCTAGTTACTTTACAGGCTTGTCTTATTATGTAAACTTAATTTTTTTTAATTTTTATTAATAACAATCTAGCCTTGTAATATCTGGGGACCTTGGAGGTCAAGGTTCAAAAGGACTATATCTTCTTATCCAGCATATAGGAAATATTTAGTTTAACTCGTTACAAACAATCAGTGAATTGTGAATGGATGCACCATAGAGCTTTTCTATAGCACCCCTTAATTGCCCATCGAAAAAGTTAACTAAACGACCGTCAGCAGCTTTAATGATTCATGAAGAAAAAAGGATATATTATTTGAACTCCCACACCAGACATCGCTTTTCTAGAAATATTGATCTTTACAATTTATAGCCTAATGGGGGTTATCTCTTTTATTCTCATCACCTTGTTTTAATGTAAGCAAGAACTTTGCCCTATGGGGCTTGATTTTGTTGCGCAAAAAAATAATATTCAGCGGGGATGATAAATCTCGTGGATTTGCAGGTGTATTCGCCGAGGTTAGACATTCTGATAGATTTTAGTAACACTGCCAGTTTCATAGAAATCTTGCATTTATAGTTGCTACTTTTCCGTGTGTACTGGGTGCACGTCGCGGATGTCTCATATGAACTTTGAATTTCCGCGAGCTTTTCTTCACCGTCACGTTTGTTGATTTGTTTTATTATTGACATAAACTAAAAAACGTACATTAACGCACCGGGTTACAACTCCAAAAAGCTGTATAGCGCCGAGAGCTTCAAATAAAATTTAAAATGTTTGCTTATTTCTAACACCCCTCCTGAAACCTAAATTTTAGGTTGAAGCTCTTCGCTCCACATAGTTTTGCCAAGTTGTAAGAGTTGTTGATGCATGTTCTTTAGTAGAAAAAATATGTGCAAATTACGAGGACTGAGCGTTCACGTCTGAAAATTTCTCCTTGCTGGTTGGGCCACATAACTGGATCTCGGGCAAAGTAATCGATTTCAAGTTTAATTAGTGGAAAGCGAAGTTAATCCTCACAGTTGATGCCTTGTCATGGTGTCGCACGACATGACTGCTTGTGGGTGTGTTGCCGAGGTGATTTGAAGTTAAAAATGTCAAATGGACATATACCCGGAACGCTATTCTCACTGAGCTACAAGCATTTGAAATTTTGAAGACCATTTAATTTATTTTATAATTTTTTATTTATTTATATTTTATTTTATTGAATTAGGTGTTCATAATGTCTACCAGTTCTTCTCTATTTTCAATACTTTGTGCATAGACTAGAGTTTTCAGTCTTTCCCATAAAAAGAAATCTAAGGGATTAAACGTCACGTGACACTGCTGGCTAATGATTTGCTGAACTTTTTTATTCAATCCACCGGTTTGTATAAATTTGATAACGAAATTCTGTTACTTGTCGACGAAAGTGAAGAGGTGCGCCATCGTACTGAATCTACATTCGTTGTCTGACATTAATATTGAAAGATCATTTTCAATGAAACGTAAATGGCCATAAGACGTTCTTCAATTTCAAACGAACCAATAAGGCGCCACACCAAATATTCACCGAAAATCTATCTTGAAAATGGGATTCCTGAGTTTGTCGTGGATTTTCAAGTGTCCAAAAATATGAATTACTGGTGTTATTGATACCGTTTTGGGTAAATAAGGCGTCATCAGTAAATAATATTATCCGACAAATCCCTTGATTTCTCACTATCCAACGATTAAATTCAAGTTTTGAAAGAATCGTCGGCAGATTTTAAAGTTTGTACAGGTAAAATGTGGTACGGGTATAAACCGAAATTGTGTAAATTTCTCCATACCCTCATCCGGAAGTTTATTACTTATTCTTCGGACACTGGTAGAAGGCTGAGCATCAGTCGTATTAAGCATTGCTTCTTCTTGAGCAATTCCTGTTGTAAGGGACGTTCAGAAGTAGCGCACGTAACTTACCAGTTTCTCTCAAACATCGATGGATATTGCTAAAAACGGTTCTACAAGGACTCTACGAGTGGGAATTCGTCGACGATATTCATCAACTGCCGCTGATGAAAGACTATATTTATGAAATTATTGACCACAAACTTATTTTAGATGGGTCGGTTAATAAGAAATGGGAACAAAGTGACATTTGATCCTGATGGTGGTGGTACTACAGACTAAATACACAAGACTGTGCAAGTTTATTGAGCAGTTCTATTGGTATCTCAGGCACTTGGCACAGGAAGTTAGGATATCTGAACTCCAAAGAACTCGTGATCGTGATCTGTGAGCGGCTTAGACTGCATATGAGAATTAGAGTTAAACAACTTAAATTGCGAAATATGCAATGAAGGTAAACAAACAAGATAACCGTTTCCTGGTAAGGTTTCGATTGCCAAAAGCTTGCTAGAATTAATCAATGTTTAACTTGTGTGGTCATATGGTCAAGTCTCAGGGAGAATCAAAAAATTTTGTGACTCGAAATTCAAAAATTTTAAGACTATGGCGGAAAACAAAAAGCTTCACCAATTAAGATCTTAAGAGGTATTCACCAAATCACTAATCCACACACCGCAACAAAATGCTGTCGGCGGTCAAGCGTGCTAGATGCTTGTTGTTTGGTGGGAAGTTGGACGAAGTTTTTCGGATGAGGCAGTGAATACTGCATTATACCAGCAAAATAGATCTCCAGCTTCAAGATTAGATAAGAAAAGCCTTTATCCCAGATGGGATCAACACTCGCAAAAAAAGATATTTGTAGGTGATGGTGACACAATAAAGGGAAAAATTAACACTCATTCGTTCCGTTTAAGTATCTGAAAAAAAGTGATTTATTATTCGCATAACCTAAAAAAAGTACGTCAACCCACAGAGTTACAACTAAACCAAAACTAGATGGCGCTGAGAGCTTGAAACCAAATTTAAAATGTTTACGTATTTCTAACAAATTTTCAAGAATACGAAATTATTATTTTTCGTTTTAAATGTGGTGCCAGTGTAATTTTGCACCAGTTTCTTATATAATATGAGCAAATTTTAAATTATTTTTTTATATGTATAAAATTGAAATTTCGGGTGGTAGATTAAGAGGTTTGCCCGCAGTGCGACGGCTGCATGTCGCTCCGAATTCTTAAAGCTTTTTTTTAGTTGTCGCGATTGCTGTGCATCGAGTGCGGTCAGGTTAGGTGCACGCGGTGCGACAAAACCAAAGACGTCACACGAACGAATCGGCTTAGTAGTAGTTCTTAGTGCCTAGGTGTGTGCTTGTTTTTCTTTACCACTGTGTTCCTAATCGTAGACTCGGTAAGGGTTTGGTATCTACTAACGAGCGCGTATCTAAAAGCGTATACAGAGTGTTACTCCGATGACATCATATAATTTAATCAATGAATTTCCTGACAAACATACTCGTTGATGTCTGGTATTTCGTTG